GGGAATTGCAGATGCGTTGCCAGCCTTTTAAAAAGGAGTAGTATCAGATTATACACGTATCACAGAAGTAATAAACAATACTGTGCCCGAATTTGGTAATTTTTTAGACAATGGTGATATAAAAGACAATAATTCATAAATTGTTCAGATGACACACCCAACCTATACTGACATAGATTGAATTTGTCAATATTTCTAAAATCAATAGGATTATGTACTCCTCTCTCCATTATATTCAGCAATTTTACAGTACTAAAATCATTAAATACAGGAGGCCATTCATTCCAATATCCAATACTCAGATGGTAATGGTAAATATGAGCACTAGACGGTACATAAAATTAATGCTGAAATGCTGCTTTTCTTTTATTTAAGATGTCATCAGGATACTGGTACCACCTTTCTAACTTTTTTGCCGTTAAACGGCGGTTTTTCATCCATCTATTACTCCATTTACTTCTTTGGTGTGAAGGCTATATTAGTGCTCAGTGGCGAGAACGCCTACTTTGTTCAGAATTATTCTTTTTATTTTATTTTTATATTTTTTTGTAATGACAATTTAAAAATTCAAGTTCAATCAGTCACCATACTAATATACTAATAAGGATAGATTCAACAAAATGAGAATGAGTTTTATTTTTAGAATAAATTGTGAGAATAAATCAACTTCACGTTTTATCATTTGCGATTCTAAGAATAGTGAGACCATTTCGGATAAGTTGCTAAACATCCTTTCGCACGGAAAAACAGAGTTATTCTAAGAATATTTTGCTCGCGTCATATGTGTTTCGCAGGTTTTAACTGTCAGTATCAATATCAAGCTCATATCATCATATATATTATTATATTTTGCATTTATCTTTACTTATTTTGTATTTCAAACCACCGAATAAATAAAATATCAAACCTTCCAAACAACTTGCTGACAGCTATTTTAAACTTCATTTTAAGAAAAAAGCTAGTGGACATGATATATTCCTTTAAATCGTCCTATAATAGAACAATATTTATTTGCAAGGTTTTATATTTGTTCATCATTCACTCTGGCAAAAAATCAATTATTGAGTTTTTCTGTCTAGAAATTCTCAGTAGCTGCCCGGAGTCAGGAATTTGGCGGTGTCTCACCCCCGTGCCTCGGAAAGCACGTAAAGCCGTTGGTACTACGCCTGATCTCTCTCCGATCCTGTCAGTTTACCGTCCCATCGGATTAGGAGAGTGAGGGAATAGAGAGTGCACCTGTGCTTTGCGTATACACTTGGGCACTATAATCCCGTCCTGCGCCGATGGCTAGCCTCCGTTGAGGCAGGCCACCGTGACCGAAATTCGGTCTGGAGGACATTATTATTATACTTCAGATGGCATGGACAATCGTACAGGACTTTACTCAAGATTTAAATCGTGGAACAGCTTATCTCTTACATACAAATCGTCTATAAATCGACGTTTAGTCAAATCCAACCTGAGCTGTAAACAAATAATACTATTACGTTATTTATATGAGTATTTAATAAGAATACGGTAGAAAACCTCCCTATCATATAATATAATCTCGTGGGTGTCATAGCTTTAGTGGCAGTGTAAGAATATCCACAACCCGATATACATCCGGAGGTTTTCGTAAGAGGCGACAGAGGGAAAGTAATCAGGAGATGGATAGCATCGTCTTCCTTATAACTATAATATTAACGACTACAATACAAATAGGTGATAGATATCAATTACAATGAAATAATTTTAAATGTCTGCGATTGCCAATCCCACCCACCGTGGACTTTAAACAGTATGTAATAATGAAGTTGATGATAATGATGATGAATGATGAATGATTAATACTCGTGATTCACTAAAAGAACTGCCAGATTTAAAGAAAAGCTAGGGTGTTCAGTCCCTAATAAAAAGCGTTTAACAAACCGAGAAGGAAGCCTTCAATATTTAAACAACTTAATATGTGCTATAAATTATTTTCTACTTAGCCATTATTCAGAAATAGTGCACATCATAATGATTTCTTATATTTATACGAACAATTGACTAAATAAAACTAATTTTACAAATATTTTTCGCGTTTGATTTGACTTATTTAATTTATTTTTTATTCCCGACATTTCAACTGATTTTGCAGCATCACGAAGCAGCAGCACGAAGAGACTGAAATGTTTGACCTGACCTGACCTTCAGCTAATTTAGCTTTAAAATGTATCTAATGAGATAAACATCTAATGAGTATCTTAAAAAGTTATCTGAAAAAGTTTTTATCTTTTATATAGCAATTTCCGGAGCTTCTTGATTGTAAGAAGTCGCGTGCGTCAAAGTACTAGTGTATTTTAGAAGCATCTGCGAATAAAATATTAATGTAAGTAATGCGGCTACGCCACTGAGTGCATCAGGGCATAAACTAGTGCAAATATTGGGTCCTTACCTATGAAATTGGCGTTTTGTCATACTGAACTCTTTGATCTGAAATGACTCCTCTTTGGTTAAGGTTTTCAAATTTAAATTATTAAATTCATTTAGCTGGTACGTTTATGTTTTTAAAACAGCCATTCATTTGTTTTTTCCTCATTATTTTTTTTTCTGGCGTCGCTTATTACCGCACAATGGAAAACGTGAAATATCGGTATATTTACGAGTACGAGTTCTACCGTGGCACCAGTGTTGCAGAAACAGCTCGAAGGATTAATGTGTATGGCGCTGGTGTCGCAAAAGAAAGCACGGAAAGTTTTTGGTTTCAACGTTTTTGTTCTGGAAATTTCGACCTTCACAACCAACCCCGAAGATGGCTGAAGACCAAAGTGGAAAATGAATAATTAAAGGCTATTGTGGAAGCCAATTCATCAAAAATCACTTCAGAAATAGCTGCACTCTTCGGGTTAAGTAATAAAACTGTATTTATCTACTTAAAGCAAATCGGGAAAGTAAAAAAACTTGAACGATGGGTACCTCATGAATTGAATGAATCGAACTCGTAAACACGCGTCGACTGATGTGTTACTTTGCTCAACCGACACAAAAATGAAGAGATTTTTAATCGAATCAATCATCCCCTACGTCTAAAATCAAACAGCGCCCCACGATGGGATAATATCCCCAACAAATTCCTTAATTTGGCGGTTGATGACTTGGCTCACATTATCACTCACCTTTGAAATCTTTGCTTCTACAAAGTTGTGTTTCCTGCATAATTAAATAAATCAATAATAACACCTGTATATAAGGGTAGAGACGATGAAGATTAGCAATTATAGGCTGATCTCGGTTCTGCCAGCAATATCTAAAATTTTAGAGAAATTACTTAACACTTGACAACTAAATTACTTAAATAAATTCAATAAATTATCATCTTCACAATTTGCTTTCAAAAATCTACAGCTTATATATAGACTTATGAAAGTTCCAGCGACCACTTAGATAGGTACTGAACTATTCTACAACTAATGACTTTAAATTAAGGAATGAAGGAAGGAACATCCATGGGCACACAAATACATTTAACAAGAACAACTTCTGACATCAATATACAACGAGTCTGCTCTAAAAGCGGCGTATACTTAGTGAAAACTTGAACCTTATTAATATTTTAAAAGTTTAAATTAAATTGCATTAATTAACAATATATCCTGTAGCAAATATGGCCTTGATATAAAATTTGAATTTCAAAACAACAAAAAGTTTGTCATGCCTATGTATAGATTTAGAATACTACTTTAGTATAATCATGTATTTTTTATTAAATTTTGAACCTCAGTGGACTTTGATTATTATCATTGAAACCAGACGTGATAAAATCAGTTGAGCTGATGTGATTGTTCTAATAAATGGTAAAATAGAATTTAGTTATTCAACAAAATTCGACTAATCCTCTTTGCCAGTATAACGTACGCTTGATTAAACATTCAGTGGTTTCTTATGTTTAATAATAACAAATTTATTACGAAAAAACATTAAAGGCTCCAATATTCTTGCGAATTGACTACCTCGTTGGTCTAGTGGTAGAAAACGCGGCTGCTGACCACGAGGTTCTGGGTTCGAATCCTGGGGTGAGTCAAATAAATCAGTTATTGAGTTTTTCCGTCTAGAAATCACCAGTAGCTGCTCAGAGTCAGGAAGTTGGCGGTGTTTCACGTTCGTGCCTCGGAAAGCACATAAAGCTGTTGATCCTGCGCCGGGCCTCTCTCAGGGCGTGTCGGTTTACCGTCCCATTGGACTATGACAGTGAGGGAATAGAGAGTGAACCTGTGCTTGCGCATACGCTTGGGCACTATAATCCTGTCCTGCGTCGGCGGCTAGTCTCAGTTGAGGCTGACTACCATGAACGAAATTTGGTCTGAAGGACATTCTTGCAATCATTGGATAAAATTCAATGGAAATTAATTGATGGAATGAATAAATCAATGGATTTGTGAAGTCTAACAATTTCAGATAAAGGAAAGTTAGCTAACAGATATTGATTTAAAAGGATAATCTATGAGGGTATTGGAACATTTTAAATCCAATGCTCGCCGCGGACGCCGCAAATTAATATCATTAAGTGCTAACGAGCTTTATGCGATTATTAACAACCCCCATGCAAAAACGTATTTTAAATTTTCAGCAAATATTTTTATTCTTATTAACAAAGAGAAAACCCTTGCCCATACTGTGTTTAAGATTATCGATTGAAAAATGAAATTGAAAAGAAATTGTATAAGGAAAACTATGGCTAAAATATTTTTCACCATTCACGTTAAACTATTTAACTAATAAAACCTTAAAATTCCTACGTTAACGCGTGCTACACACATAAATTTAATCTATTTGTTGACACACATATGCAAACATTATAGTTTGTGATCACTGATAACTAAATCCGACGAGCCGGAATATCGATATCATATGTTTGTTGCCATTTGACATTATATTAGAAGCCAGAAAAAATGTATAAAAGAGTTTGTTTCGAGCGTTTAGGCATCAGTCGCTGATCTGGTAGCAATAAAACTAAACCAAACTCTTTAAACATGAAAATGGTAAGTTGTAAACCCTTCTTTCATAGACATTTTTATTTTTTCTTAGTTTTATCATTAATAACTGTTATTTATTCTGCAGATGATTGTTGTCGTCCTCGCCCTTGTGGCCGTCGCCTGCGCGGTTCCAGTAACCGAACTACCCGAAAAAGAACTCGAACTTAAACAAGCATATGTAGAACCAATAAAGATTATTCGCTCTGAGGAACACCGTGACCCCGAGGGTGGATACAACTTCAGGTAAATAAACATATCCTTTTTATTACTTTAGAAATAAATATAAGAAAAAAAATATATGTTTGATTTGAATTTTTATGTTATCTATTACTATTTTTGAATAAATACTATCATTGCCACAAAGAAATTTATTTGGGGAACTCGTGACGTTTAATAAATTAATTATTTTATAAGTAAATTATTAAAATAAGTTCAAATAATTATGTCATCATAATAAAAGCAATAAAATCTAATTTTTTAACGTATCTAGTATATATTTATTCACGATTTAGTTCGTATCACTCTTGATTTCTATACTATTTTTTGTCATTACTAAATTGTTCTTTACATGTAACCCCCTATAATGAAAATAAATGTAATTTTATTAAATAAATTGAAAGTACTGTAACCCTCTGTGCTAGATCGAACACTTATGGATAGTGGCTATACTCCTGTAGAGGTATTTGGAAATGGTCAAAGTAAGATAAACCGATCACAAGGAAATCACCATAGACGCATTGGATCTAAGATGCTGTTCCATCCCCATTGGTCTAGACCCTGGGTATTTAAATATTTGAACTTTAGAGAATTTCTGTAACACAGACTGTAGTAAAACAGTTTTTAACGATCTAGATTTTGATACTGATTATTTTATTTAGCTACGAGACCGCGAATGGCATTAACCAAAATGAAAACGGTGAACTGAAGACGGTTCCCGATGAAGACAATAAGCCCCACACTGTCATCGTTGTCCGCGGTGCCTACTCTTACACGGATAAAGACGGCAAAGTTCAGTCCATCACCTACAGCGCTGACGAGAAAGGCTTCCATGCTGAAGGCGACTCAATCCCCACAATCGCCCCGTCCAGGAGATAAGCATTTAATGACTTAATTACAATGAGTGATCAATTATACAACAGCATCTAATAATCGATTGTTCATGGAACTCGCTAAGGGAAAATTATGCTTGCCATATATGAAGATGTGTGCTTCCGTCTCACATCTTTCTTGTTATTCGTTTTACTGAAGCACACTGCCATATTTTTACGTTGTTATATTGTTTATTGAATTGATATGCAAACTGTATATTAGTAAATAAACTAATTCGAAACAATTTATTTGTTTTTCTATAAAATCTATTATATCTTTAACAGTTGACCATGAGCATTAGAAACTTTTTATTACATATAAAGTTATCAAAGTTTACATGAACTTAACATAAGATTCCATTGTGACGGCCCATCATTATTATTGTTAATTAATAATCAATTTATATATAAGGGGACATCAAACATAATCTTAAAAGATATAATATATTAAACATTAAAATTACAGTAATGAGCATAAAGTTAAAAATAATTTAAAAATTCACAAATGTGCGTTTTTTTGCGATAGCTATTTTGATACAAAATTTTATAATACTTGTATAATAAATAAATATCTATAATCTATCTATAAAAAATCTATGTATAATAAGTTTAGGCAAATAGGCACACTTGCCGTTAAGCCTCCGTGAGCACCACCACCTGCCAGATCGCCGCTCCTGCAGACGTGATGTAAGTGTATGGCATCACCACCGATTGCATGATCAGCACGGCTACTAGCCGCAGAGCGTGTTAAGTGTCTACCGCTCACCTCTAGGGAATGGGGTCCCACGTTGTTCGGCTTTTAGCCGCAGCCTTGATAGTCTCCTCAGATCCTCCCTCCAGCTACCACCCGCATGAGATCGACACATATGCTCCACCAACCAATACAACGGCAGATATAGCCAAAAGGCAAAGGCATTTCAGACATTAGGTATTGTAGTAAATTTAAGGCAAAATATTGTCTTTCAAAATAAATAAATTTATTTAAAAAAAACTTGTAAAAATATTTAAAATATGATATGATAAATAATAGAAATACAAGTTGAAAACATTATAAAAATAAAGATAAATAACATTTATAAGATAATTAGAAAATTGGTTAAAAATTGTCTAAGTTATGGTGGAGGGTATAGATGGCTTGTATGGAGGAGCTGTCGGAGACGCATACTCAAGGTTGTTATATATATATATATATATATATATATATATATATATATATATATATATATATATATATATATATGTGGTTAAAAAAAAAAATATATGGGTGGTCGGGTGCCCGACTACTTGAAGTACTGTAGCACTATGACTAGTCCTATATTAGGGAATTATGACAGTAAGCTCTATTATACTAAAGCATTATTATAGAAGGTACCCATGATGCATAAGCATTATGATACTAGAGTTATGGGTTGAAGTCGCATATATTAAAGACATATACATAGACATAAAGATAATAGTAAGATCTATGATACAAAAACAATACTATAGAAGGTAGGAAGGTATAATGCAACTAATAATATTAGTATTAACTCGGATTGTTTAGCACATATTTCCATAAGTCACGATGATATTCTCAAACGTATTAAGGGTCTAGATATATCGAAAGGTGCAGGCTCTGATAATATTCCACCATACTTCATAGTTAACTGTGCGAATAGTTTATCAGCACCTTTAAGGCTCATTTTAAATGAATCGTTGACAAGTGGAGTATTTCCAAAGCGATGGAAGTTGGCTAAGGTCGTGCCGATTCATAAGTCTGATGATGACCAAGACGTTCGGAACTATAGACCAATTTCTATCCTGCCTGTTTTTGCTAAGTTGCTAGAAGCAACCATTTGCCCATATATACAAAATCACTTCAAAAATTACACTTCTAGTAAACAGCATGGATTTGTAGCTGGAAGGTCTACTTCTACGAATCTCATATGCTTTGCTGAAGACCTTATGGAAGCTGTGGATAACAATCGGCAAGTTGACGCCATTTATACGTACTTCAGCAAAGCATTTGACACAGTTCCCCACAACGTGCTCTCCAAAAATTAGAAATGTATGGCTTCGCTGGACCTATTCTGCATTAACTAGAATCATATTTAAGCGATAGATCCTTTTATGTGGTAGTCAATGGGTACCAATCTAACTTACACTCTATTTCCTCTGGCGTACCGCAAGGCTCGCATTTGGGCCCAATACTATTTAATATATTTATTAATGATCTGCCTGATCACTTTCTTTATTCTTCAGCGCATATGTTCGCTGACGACCTGAAATTGTCTAAAGTCATAAATAATGAGAGCGATATTATGACGCTTCAAAAGGATTTAGACATCTTGAATTCTTGGTGCGTTAAAAATGGACTTAAATTGAATGCCAAAAAATGTACACACATAAAATTTACTAGAAAACTTAACAAAATTTCATCTTCATATACAATAGCAGGCAACATACTTAAGGAGACAGAAATCATGCGTGATTTAGGCGTTTTATTGGATACAAAACTTACATTCATACCACATATGGAACAAACGATCGGCAGGGCATCGAGAATGGTGGGTTTTGTTATAAGAAATAGTAAGGAATTCCGAGACATTAAAACTAAAAAAATCCTTCATTGTAGTCTGGTCAGAAGTGTACTGGAGTATGGTAGTGTAATCTGGCGGCCGCACTACGCTACTCACTCATTGAGAATAGAACGGGTACAAAAGCGCTTTCTTCGGCATCTGTCGTATTCTTCGGGTATGCGAGGCAGGCATATCAGTTACGAGACCAGTCTTAAGCGCTTTAACATGACCAGTTTATCCAAACGAAGAGAGGTTTTAGATTTGTTATTTTTATTTAAATTACTCCACAATATCATAGACTGCTCAGAACTTCTACAAAAAATTAATTTTAGAGTTCCCTTCAGGCCTCCACGAAAACCTATTACTCCATTCAGTCCTCCATTACGACGAACTGTTTTGGGATCACATTCGCCAATTTGTAGGATGATCAGACTTTTTAACCAAATTAGCAATCTCGTCGACATTAACCATGTTTCATTGGGAAAGTTTCGAAAGGCTGTCTATATGATAGGTACCTCAGATTATAAACATTTGCCTTGTTAAACACTTTTTTCCTTTTTTTTTAATTTTTTAAATTTTTTTTTAAATATTGTAAATCCATACCTTGCCGCTCTGTTTTTGTTCAGTATGTTTTAGTGCATTTTATAATAGCAATACTACAGTGTTTTTATTCAATAAGTATAAATTCGTCTTGTAATTGTCGAGATAAAAGTTATGCATGTGGTGTTTACCTGTAATTGACTATGTACTTAGTTTTTTTTACTATATCGCTTGATTTATATGGAAAGATGTTAGTGCATAAGTTGTTGGTAAACCAATTTAAATAAATAAATAAATAAATAAAAAGGTGTCTATGATGAATTTGCATTACAATTGTAGGGTTATGGGTTGAAGTCCTATATATTAATGACTTATAATATTGAGTTCTATGATACCAAAGCAATAATATAGAAGGCACCTATAATGAATTAGCATTACAATAGTAGAGTTGTGGGTTGAAGTCCTATAAGGTCTATGATACAAAATCATTATTATAGAGGGTCTCCTTGATGCATAAGCATTATCTGGGGTGGTCGGGTGACCAAATGCTCTTAGTCCTGTAGTAAAATGACTAGTCCTTTATTAGAGACTTGAAAAGGATAATTATGGTGGCTTGTATGCTGTTTCACGAGCAATTGGTCCGAAGTAAACTTAGACTCGCTAACCGATGTGTCCCAGACATATCATCTTAGTGCCGGTGGTAAGCGGGTTTGTTGTAGCAATATAGCTTTCCCGTGGACATCGCACACCCATACCGTTTGTGTGCGGCGTCGTTTGTTGTAGCACTTTTAAGTGTAACAGGCATACTCAACTTCATGTCTTAGTGCATTAGCGCTATGATTCGTGTGGTTTTGTTCACTAGGGTCTTAGCAGCGTGCTACTATGATAAGTTGGTGTTATTTTTTAGGTAATAAAAATACAAATTTTGTTACCAAAATCGATAGGGATCATGTGAACCGTATGATAGTTGCATTGATGCTTACCGCTACTTGCGGTATTGCGTCTTGTGATGGATCTGCGGGTGTGCTGTGCCTGATTCGACGCACTCTTGTGGTTCTGGCCGATGGATGTATGTGGGTGGTGATTTCTGCTGGGATATATGGGGGACCTTGGGATGGTGTAAGCCCGACGATAGTCGTATTGATGCTTGTTGCGTTCTGCAGCATTGCGTCTCTGCGATGGTTGTTTGGTGGGACGCTATTTTCAATGGCGCTCTCTGCGTCTTGGTTTGACTCACATCTGAGTAGCTTTGTCCAAGTTTGGTCTCTTCATCATCATCAACTCAACATCATGGAGTTCAGATAGTCTGCAGCCCCATGCAGACTGTCTGATCTCCATGATGTTTTATATAACAACATAATAATATATCTTTGTAACTTTTCCACCTTTGAATGATTGAAGGCAACTTGTTGGTAGGTGAGACAAACATGATCGAAAATGCATTTACTCAACGTCAGTGACACAAACTCTTTCTGATGGCAAATTATTACTAACATCTTATAACTGCATTTTGGCTATATCTGCCGTTGTATTGGTTGGTGGAGCATATGTGTCGATCTCATGCGGGTGGTAGCTGGAGGGAGGATCTGAGGAGACTCTCAAGGCTGCGGCTAAAAGCCGAACAACGTGGGACCCCATTCCCTTGAGGCGAGCGGTAGACTCTTAACACGCTCTGCGGCTAGTAGCCGTGCTGATCATGCAATCGGTGGTGATGCCATACACTTACATCACGTCTGCAGGAGCGGCGATCTGGCAGGTGGTGGTGCTCACGGAGGCTTAACGGCAAGTGTGCCTATTTGCCTAAACTTATTATACATAGATATTTTATAGAGAGATTATAGATATTTATTTATTATACAAGTATTATAAAATTTTGTATCAAAATAGCTATCGCAAAAAAAACACACAT